GGGGGAAACATGGTCGTAAGAGTAAGTTGTTGATCACATTTCATCAAGAAAAGAAACTGTACAACTACTATAAAATATTTAATCATAGACACTTCATGTCTAATATAATTTACATTTCACATTTATGAATGTGTAACCTTATTACATCCAAAGTGTACTAATTACTAAGGGAAGCTTACCCATAGTCAAGAAACCACTGATAATCAGAATTATCCTGAATGAAATCCACATCCTGTGAAGAAGCATTGCTGATGTAGCTAGAGGTGGTCTCACCATTCTTGTCAGGTGCAGCAACAGTGTTGCTGGTGTGATTTGAATTGCAGTCAGATGCAGAGCTTTGGGCCCCAACAGTTTTCACTTTAGAAATCTCCTCAGTCATTCCTCTCTGGTGGCCACTGGATTGGAAACCTGAAACAATCAAGTGCAGGATTATTACCATGTTAACAAAGAACGATATATTTACTCAGTATGGATGAGGGTGTTTGATAACAGGGTACTGAAGAGGATATCTGGATCTAAGAATGAGAATATAAGATGAGGGTAAACAAAAAGACATAACTCCGAAGAGCTTCAAACTGTATATTCTTCACGATATATTACATTACGGCAATCAAACCAATAAAGATGAGATAGGTAGGGCATGTAGCACACACGCGGGAGATAAGAAATGCTTATAAAATTTTAGTTGGAGAACCGTGGGCGCCTCCAGGTCTCTTTTTCCAAAGAGGGGAGCCAAGAAAATTTCGTTCAAACTTATTTTCAAACTGCAAACTTCTGTCTTTTGGGATATACCTCTTCATAGTCATTGCTGTGACAGCCACAAATCCAACTTATGTTTAAGCTGTTTATGATTATTTTTATTTGCTGCCCTAATATTCTGGACAGAATATTTTATATTTATAACTGGTACAGCATATTTCTTCTTGTTTCAATATTGACTTTTTCTCCTGAATGTGAGGAGGGGGGGGGCAGATGCCTGTCTTTCCCCCACCCCTGCAAATGGCCAGGTGGACAGCCTTAAAGGAACGGTGTATTTGGCAGTACATATGGGAGAATCATGTTAATGTGGACCTCAGGAACTCAAGGTTGGATTACTGAAATTTCAACAGGTGAAAACTTTCGGAATAGATTTATCCTTTCGGCAATTTGATAGTTAGAATTGCCCTAAAAAGCTGGGAATTTTAAGGAGATACGTTTCAAAAAATACACGGCCTACTTTTCATTTGGGGAGTATTCTGTAACAGTCGTGAGTTAGATTTTACGCATTGATTGCATCAAGAATTAACGCATCGTCATGGGGCGTCACACCGATAACAGACTCTGGTTAACAGAAATATTTATTCATCAGACTGTCGTCACAAATACGGCATGTAAATATTTCACAACACTTGACGAAAACTCGGGTGAAAAACGGCCCCTTTCACTATATACATATATGTATAGGGTCTATAAAACACCGCCGCGTAGAAAATGAACTGCTGATGCGCGTCAATCCGAAGACACGTCGTAATTTTAAACGTTCTTTCAGGCTTCTCTAAACTGACAAGAAATGTCGTACACTTAGAGCGTGGCCTACCCGAATGACTTGGTAGTTCTGTACTGTCAAAGTGGGCCATGAGAAATAATTCCAACTTCCTGTCTTCCACGCAACAGACTTTGTTGTGAGAGTAAAAAGTGTTAATAATCAGACTCCATAATTCTACTAGTAACGTCCGGCTTTAAGAAAATCTTTAAAAAGGATTCACTTGCTCTTATTGGCTGGAGGAGGGGATGGGAGTGTTAGCGGGGAGTCCAATTCTGTGCTTACAATATAATAATATTAATTACAACTGACATTCAACCTTACGTGTACTGTCTTCTATTAAAATCATCTACAACTTGCTGAAAATTGGTATGTCCACCATATCCCCCCCCTGGCACTACAGCCCCAGTGGGCCTAGGCCTACCTCCATGAATTCCGTTCACTTCGGTTTTTCTAGATCTTACACATTCGGTAGGACTCCTTGGGCGGGTGATCAGCTCGTCTCAAGGCCTCTACCTGTACACAAACACAGAAAAACGCACACACACAAACTAAACATCCATGCCCTGAGTGGAATTCGAACCCACGATACCGGATTCCGGGCGAGCGAAGACAGTGCATGCCTTAGACCGCTCGGCTACCGTGACCGGCCATGTCCAGCATATTAAAGCATGTAATATGAAAAATAGTGCTTCTTCTAGCGATACGCAACGGTATTCAGTATCGGAACCCTTTTGGGGGGGGGGGAGAAACTAAATGTATTCTTGGAAAATGATCACATAACGATCAAATGACATTCGGTTAATATCAAAGTTGGTGAAAATTAAATTGTTTCAAAATCTGAAAGGGCAGACAAGCAATAACGCAATTATCGGCAACTTTTCTTCCCCCAGTAAACATGCACTGATTAGAAGTGAGAAAAAAAAAACAATGCGCAATCGGTATAGAGCGGTCGGAGTCTGAGTCCCGGTAGGGTCAGAATTTTCTCTTCTCTATATCGTCCGTGCCGGCTCTGGGGCCCACCCAACCTCCTATCCAAAGGGTACCGAGGGATCTTTCGCCGGGGGTAAAGCGGCAGGGGCGTGACCTGACCACTCACCTCCAGCTAATGACCAGGTCAAGAAAATGTGGATCTATATAACCACTCCCCCATACGCCTTCATGGCGTAGTGCTTCATTTGTTAAGCATAGGGACAACTTTGCCTTTTCTCTTTTTACCTTTACTGAAAGGAATGGCTCCAAAATGCAATAGACACTAATTTCAAGGGGTCTGTTTGCAGTTCATTAAGTTCGCCTTCGCTGTGGTTACAGAATTCGATATATACGAAACAATGCGTGTTAAAACAAGGTTAAGTACGGGGCAAATTACAAAATAAAGGCAAGTTTAGTGTATCTAAAAATGATATTGGCGGCAATGAAAATATGGCACACATAAAGCTATAAACTTGCCATATTTTATTTTGGTTTTCATTACTCAGGTCGTGGTAATACTGCATTACTGCTCCAGTCATATAATGCACACACACACACACA